ATCCATGAAGTCACTGACAAGTGGACTGAGTCATGTTGGTAGATGTAGACTACCTGGTTGGGATCCGCGAGACGAAAGTCATCAATGGTTAGAGACCTTGAACGACATGGCTCAAAATCATTTGCAATGGCGCAGGTGCATCCACTCTTTGAGCTCTCTCAAATCCTAATCCTCTGGATTAGCCAGCACATATACCTTTGTCTTTCTAACCTTATCTCACTGAATTATATACTTCTTGAATAATATCTTCGAACCCTAGTCTTCTTTATTAACATTAATACCTCTACTATCTTTATCACTATGGGATTTGATTTGACATTTGCGTCTCTGTGCTAATAATGTGGTATGGCAACATGAACTTATGTACATACGTACGAAGTTTTACGTTGCAACTGACTGACTGACTGCACCTCGCTGGATTCGAACCCGGGACCTTCGGTATTGTGCGCGAACGCCCAACCGTCGGATCACCAGGCCGGCATCCAACGGTGTTAATGTCTAACTCTGATCAATCTACAGATGTGGCGCCATCTCACCCATTTGTCTTTGGCAGTAGTTACTGCCTACACCCGACAGAGTTGAACTCCACTGGTCACATCTTCTCAATTAGAACTCCGAGAATTCCCTTACGAAGCTAGTCACAAGTGAGAACATTTTACGATATTTTCAATTAGAGTTATGGAAGCACTGGACCAATATATACGCCTAATCATTGTTTGAATGTAAATTCTATAAGCATTGATTGATTGACGTGTATATGACGGCTATTCACTAAAATTAATCATATTCACATTCATTTATCAATTTTCTAATGTATGTATTTTTCAGTGTGTAGACAACAGGGAAAAAAAAATCAAAACTTAATGACTTGTCAGCATTAAAAACAACACCAACAACACCAAAACTGACCTCGATACGATGTTCCGCCGATGGACGATTGACTTCTAGGATAATAATGGAAATAATAATAGTAATATAATTGGAAGGATATGGAAAATACTTAATAATAATAATAATAATAATAATAATAATAATAATAATTCATTAGTACTGGTTATTTGAATTCCCCTATTGGCGTTTAGGACTACCATTGAGATCTGTGTCTTTGACAGATGTGAATCCTATGAAGAGTTTCCATGTTGACATTCAGTCACAAGCAGTAGACACACACTCAGCCGATGAGTTCCGGATTAGAATGAAATGTATGCTTTGAATTCCATTGCTAGCTACTAATCCATCGTTTCGCATAATGTTTATGTTAATTAAACCTCATTCATCACCGGATCCAGTGGTTATTTGGACTATGAAGCTAGAGTGGATTAACTAGATAGTGTTTAAAACGAACAATATACTAAGTTTGGATCCTTAGAGGTTATTAGCATGAACTCAACTAATATAAGACGCATTTGTTGCATTCCATTGCTAGCGACTATCCGTTTCTGCTTGTAATCGATAAATAATGTTAGGAATAAAAATCATTAATCCAATATTACTTTATAAAAATGAATAAGGTATTCGGGTATGATAAATAGACAGACAGACAGATACAACGCAGAACTTCGTATGTACATACATCAGTTCAGGTTGCCATACCACGTCAGCACAGAGACGTAACTGTCAGTTCAAATCCAAGAGTGATAGCAATAATAGAAGTATTAGCAGTAATGGAGAAGATTAGTGAGCGAAGATATGTTTCGAGAAGTATAATTCGGTGAGATAAATTTAGAAGGAGAAAGGTAGAGATGATGAGGAATTCAGAAGGATAGAATTTGCGAGAACACAAAGAGTGGATGCACCTGCGCCATTGCAAACGATTTTGAGCCATGTCGTTCAAGGTCTCTAACCATCGGTGACTATCGTCTCGCGGACCCCAACCAGGTAGCCTACATCTGCCAACATGACTCAGTCCATTTATCAGTGACTTCATGCATTTGTGCCATGTTTTGGTTTGGCCGCCCCTAGCTATCTTCCAATCTACTTCTACACTGCAAAACATAGCTCGTCGAGGCAGTCGATGGTTAGGCACCGAGCTATATTGGCTGGAACATATGTTCCTCAAGGTTCTACCATGCCAGGCTGGTCGGTTGGAGAACGATGAGACTAAAAACAGCTACCCAAGGTCTGAGGGCGAAGTCGTACTGCTGACTGTGATGGAGGGGTGTGACAGAAGTACGGTGTTTATCTCGGACAACCAGCATCTGCAGTGATGCTGCCTTCTCACAAGGAAGCAAGGAAGGGTTAGAAAAGGTCGACCCTAAAAGTGTCACACCTCACCCTACCTCACGGACTTCCGTCTCCTTGGGTAAGGGTGCTCACTAAGGGCCTTTAAGAAAGGAGCTAATACTCACAAAAACCTTTCATAAAAAGGCCGTGCGTGACCGGCCTCAAGCAGTTGTCCCCTGGGCTCTGCGGTCACGCACCCAGGTCTCTAAGACCAACACTAATCTATCTCCCTTTCCAAATCCCTCAAGAAACAACCTTCCACGGTGTGGGCAGCCGGGAAGAGACAACCGCCATCATACCCGTACCAGCACACGGGTATGATAAATATAAATAAACAAGGTTTATGAACAATTTATGTAGATTAGTTTAATCTTATATTATATATAACCAGACAACAATTGAATAAGTGTATCATTTCGATGGTTAACATTAGGTTAAACTCTATCAAAACAAGAACAACGAAATCATCGTCAATAATAATAATAATAAAATAGTTACATAAAATATATTATAACTTAAATGAAAATAATATTCATGACATTAATACAGACGGTCAAGTAGTACAATTCATATAAAAATAACCCAAATAAATTATACAAATCACACTATTCAGTCTAATTACTTACAAAATTGAATGAGTGGAAGTGTAACTTTTGAGCTTAGAATATACGGAATGAAGATGCTAACTAATATAAACAGTCTTTTGACCATCATAAGAGATGAATGCAAGCAAGTTCATGAAGCGAATCTTTCTATTTCAATACAAACTATTTCTTACAGGGATGGTTTGAGTCGACACCTGAACTAGTCATAAGTAAGGAGTGAAGTTGTTGAGTGTGTTGACTGTCTCACCGATGTTGAGTCTCATCAGTAGCCCTGATGATCTGGTGTTTGATGAAATCCTAATACGGATACAGAAGGTCTAACGGTTTGTTAATGTGTCACTTGGGCTGTAGTCCAGATATCCAAAGGAGGAGTTCACTGTACAGCGGCGATTCGATCTGTCCTACTATACGGGTGTGAAACATGGCCGCTAAGAATAGAGGATATTCAATAATAAGAGTTTTCGAAGTACTGCTCGTGCAGATTGAGACCATCGAGTAAAAAACACGTGGGTTGGGAATACAGTAATAGACAAGGACGACAAATCAATAAATGAATTAGGTAGACTGGAAGAAAGCTAGGGTTGACCAAACTAAAACATGACACAAATCCATGAAATCACTAACAAAACTGGATTGAGCCTTATTTAGTAGATGTAATCTACTTGGTCGGAATCCACAAGACAATTGTAACTGGTGGTTAGAGACTTTAAATGACATGGCTTGAAACCATTTCCAATGGCGCAGATGCAACCATTCTGTGTCATCTGTCATATTCCAAACTCCTGAATTTGTCATGACCTTTTTTACTGTTTTTAAATTTATTTCACTGGAACATACTTCTCAAATCATATCTCCGATCTCTAATCTTTTCGATTAGTGCGTATATTGTAAAAATTTCAACCACTATAGGGTTTGAATTGACAATTCGGTCTCTCGGTGTTAATGCGGTATGACAACTTGAAGTGATGTATGAACATACCGGGTTTTACGCTGCGAATGACTGGTTCCTGTGACACAGTATTAGGTGGTACCCCATCGGACTTTGGTGGTATATGACGTGGCACTGTGATATGAAAGTGATGTAGGACTAGCACTCGTCAGTAAACTATGACTGCTTAATTGAGACCATACAGATTGTGCAACTCATTGGATTGGGTAGCCATCAGAAATGACTGAAAAGTGCATTCTTCATAAAGGTAGGAGGAAATTTTAAGATAAAAAAATCCTTGTTGGTTGTATGTTTATCTGAACGGTCTCTCACTATATACTATCTAGGTATCCTTTGTTCTCCTCACAAAGTTATGACTTTTTGGCACCCAAGTGTGTATGAATACGGCGTTTGATACTGTTTCTCCAATTTATTTTAGTTCAACAAAGAGAAACTCCCCGTGATTTGGTAAGTATTTTGCTTGACAACGCTTTAAGTTACCGGATTCATAACAATAATTGATAACTTGGGGAAAATTTTAACGTTTTTAAAAATGTTACTACCAGTTAAGCACTAAAACCGCGAAAAGTTTTAAAGAATTGTCTTCATAAATATGGAAACTACCCGTATCAATAACTTTTCATTTCTCGTTAGAGTACCATACCGATTAAGGTGAATTTTGTAACAAGCTTTTAATAAACATTTTGAGCATATAAACACTTTTTCCTTGAAATATTGAAAAGACCTGTATTATATAGTAGTAGTAAGGTTAAAGGGTGTAATGTTAAACTTTATTATGAATTTAACTGTGAAGCGACATTTGAAATTGATCTAACAAAGGATGAGGAAAAACTCTACTTTTGTTTGCCACTTTAATCTTGTGTTCGGAAATCAATAAGGATGAAGCGAGAATGATTAGTATCGCATCAAAGATTCTTCTATTCACAGAAATCACTACAGACTGATTTAAAAAAAAAGCATGAACAATAAAACATTTTGTACAAAACCAATATCACTCCATCCTGCTACAGTCACTTATGATAGGAAGAGTGTAGGAGTAGGTTGGAAGAGAGCTAGGGGCGGCCAGAACAAAACATGGCACAAATCCATGAAGTCATTGACGAGTGGACTTAGCCATGTCGGTAATTGTCGACTACCTGGTTGGGGTCCGTGAGATCATAATAATCGATGGTTAGAGACCTTGAATGACATAGCTCAAAATCGTTCGAAATGGCACCGGTGCATTTATGCATTGTGTTCTCTCAAAAGCTAATCTTCTGGATTCTTCAACACCTCTAGCTTTTACTTTCTAAACTTTTCTCATTAAATCATACTTATTGAATAATCTCTCCGATTACTTCTAATACCTTTACTACCTCTTCTACCATTGGATTTGAATTGACAATTACATCTCTGTGCTGATGTGGTATGGCAACATGAACTGATGTACTTACGTACGAAGTTCTACGTTGCATCTGACTGACTGACTGATGATAGTAAGATCAGAACAAAAAGAGCAACGTGGAACTTTGTAGGTACGTACATCAGTTCACGTTGTCCTATCACATTGCAACACAGATGCAATTGTCAATTCAAATCCCATAGCAGTAGACATAGTAAAAGTATTAGCAGAAATCGCAGAGATTAAGGTTCGAAGATATTATTTAACAAATAGAAACTAAAGTAAAAAAAACTTAAAAAGAAAACGATAGAGGTGAAGAAGAATCCAGAGGATTAGGATTTGAGAGAACACAAAGAATAGATGCACCTGCTCAATTGCAAACGATTTTAAGGTCTCTAACCATCGATTACTATCATCTCGCGGACCAAAACCAAGTAGTCTACATCTACCAACATGACTCAGTCCACTTGTCTGTAATTTCATCGATTTGTGCCATGTTTAGGTTTGGCCACCCCTAACTTTCTTCCAACCTACTCCTACTACTACAAAACATAGCTCGACAAGGCAGTCGGTGGTTGGGTATTCGTAACACTTGTCCTAACCACCTCAACTGATGAAGTTTCACCACTTCATCTATTGACCTGCCATCCTTACCTAGCACCCGTTTCCTAATAACAGCATTGCTTACTCGGTCGTCCCAGGATACACGAACAATGATTCGGAGACACCTATGATCGAAAACCAGTAACCTACGAATATCTTCTACTCTCATTGGCCATGTTTGGCATCCGTATAGTAGAAAGGAGGGAACTGCTACGCATTAGACTTGTCCTTTAGTCAGCAAACGGATATTTAGCCTACGTGATAAGTGACGCAGATTGGCAAAAGCCAATCGAGCTTTCTGTATCCGTGCTGAGATTTCGTCAGTCACCAGGCCATCAACACTGATGAGACTCCCGTGGTAAGTGAAGCGGTCAACATCCTCAACTACTTCACTTCCTATCACTAATTCAAAACGCTATGATACTTTTTCAATGATTTGACAACATGGAGTTAGTTTATCCTCATTTCCAAACAACTGATCAGAATTAGTTTTAACAAACAGAGACACACACACACACACATCATCCGCTTCTTGTTTCTTTTTATATCAAAACTGTCTTCTGCATGAACCAAAAGTAAAAAAAAGCAAAAAACACTACCAGTTTAAATAGTTATTATCTTATCTAGAAGACACATATTTTAAGTGCGAGAGAGAGAAGAAAAAAATGTGTGTAAAGTTTTCGTAAATCAGAACACAAATATTTAATGGAAAATAATTGATTAATTAAGTAAACAAATAATTCACTCGCTATACACACACAGAGAGTGAGAGAGAGAGTAGAAGAGTAAAATAACAACACACCAGTTATAGAGTTAGTTGGATGTAATGTAAACTTACCCTCTTAAATTTGATTTTGATCTGTAACAGTAGAAAAAAATTCACACAATAGAATGTGCATTATTATTTTTGTTATCCCATAGAAGAATGAATACGATACAAATGAAGTTAAAAAATAAAATAAATTTTCAAGTATTCATAGTATACAGCAACAACAACTGTGTACAACTACTGTGGTGCGCGCTACTTATAAGTAGTATATGACGCGAGTGTAAACGTAATGTCTGGTGGCAGCAGAAGATGGGGGAAGATCAAGAAAGGAAGAGTTAGAAGAACACAATGGAATTTGTATGAAACGCATAAATAAGTGAAATGTCAAACAATGGATTGATGATTTGAAAATTAACCGTTTACGATATGATTTTCCTATTTTACTACTGAGTAACTCTGTAATTACCGTTAAATACAATTCGGTTGCTCTCACCTGTGTTCTCCTTCATTACACTGTGTGCACCATGGCATAGAAAGGAATTAAATAGAAGTGACTTTCGAACGGTCGGATATTTAAACAAATTCCGCTAGTAGTTAGTTATCATATGAATGAGAATTTAAATTAGTTTCATACTCTTAACTGTTGAATAAAACATCATGTAAAAAATACAGAAAAACCAATTAGAATTACACCGTAGCATCGGAAAACCTAGAGTCAGTGAGAAATCCTTGTTGGCGATAGCTTCTTTCTTTCAATCCTACCCTCTTAGTTCAGAACTCTGTAGCTAGCTAGAACTCTACAAAATTCTTTATACTTCAAAGTAGATTTAGTTTATGTACCAAGCATACCATATCGATCACACTATAGAATGATAAAATACATTTACATATGAGCCAACGTAAAGTATCTGCGAATATAGGGGACTGTTAGTGTGTTTGGGGACTTTAAATCCCCAAAACTCACTTGGAAAAGGTTCTAATTTTGGATTGTATGCTTTCTCACACGAGTTGATTAGTTGACCTTGAGATTACATATCCTACTCGGAACGGCCTTGACTGTCATTGGTTAATGTGTTAGTAATCTCAGTATGCTATTTTTGTGGCTCTCCCAAGGAGGTTTCTATCATGTATAATAAATAAACTCAATTTGTGTGCTTGTTGACCTCACATATTTTCTGAGTGATTGTAGAATACACTTTCTACATCTTATCAAGACTTCTTCCCCTACTTAGTGGGGCCTTGGGATGCTCGGATTAGAGTAGCCGATCGTGTCACTGGATCATTTGTATTCGCTCTTGTTTACCGACTAAGGTGAACTAGTAATAGCATTCAAGCATATCACAGTGATAAACTAGCAATAGGCTGAGAATAATAAATCACACAACAGTTAGTTAATAAGTTAATTGTAATAAAAGGAGTTAATGCTGACGATGTTGTTCAGAAGCTCCACAACCAAAACACCAAGCTCAGAGAACGAAACACCACCATCACAAAAGGAATATATTAATAATAATCTAGTTACTGAACACAATAAGAATTCATAAATCAGTCCTAGCAGTTACTATTCCTCTAGTTATTTTCCTTTTATAAAGCATTAGGTACACAAAATTTGATCTAAGTCATAAGGCGAACATCTCTATCTGGAGCTCTCCTAGGATTATAGACGGTCTAAAGTTAAAGGATAAATGTCAGGCACAGTGTTATCACCCTTGAAAACAACTACGCTGAAAAACAGTTACGAATACACCGCAAACACATCATTCGGGATGCTTCTGAACTATTAGCAGTTCAGCTTAGTCGGAAAACGAGAGCGAGAATCGAGGAGCCGGTAACACGACATGCTGCTCAATCTAATCCAAGTGTCCCAACCCCCATTGAGTAAAGAAGAAGACTTGATATGAAGTTGAACCTGTATTCTACAAGCATCCAGAAAGTACAAGGTTCGAGTTCAGAATAGAATCATGATCCCAGACTAGGGATTAGAGTCCGGGTTGTAAAATGTTACAGATAATGCATATTTATACAATTAGGACGACTATAATATTGACCAGTAGCAAATTAACCAATAGGAATTGACCAATAATAATTCTCTTAGGATATTGGATACATATCCTAACAACAAACACCAACTTGAAAAAATCATTTGAACACTCAAGTAAGAGTTGAACGGTCTTTATTTACAAAAGTTATGATATATCTATTATAGCATAACACAAGTTTAGTATGAGAATCATTGAGGTGAAAATTGCTAAAATTCACTTAATAATTATTGTAAAATGAATCTGTATATAAAGGTTGTCTACGTAAAATACTTCGGATTCGTTGGCCAGATACCATCCCCGACCGTAGCTGCTACCTTGACGTGGTGGTCGGGCTTGCCTATCGTGATGACCCAACCGAGCTATACTGGCTGGAACATATGTTCCTCAAGGTTCTACCATGCCAGGCAGGTCGATTGGAGAACGTTGAGACTAAAAGCAGCTACTCAAGGTCTGAGGGTGAAGTCGTACTGCTGACTGCAGAGGGGTTTGACAGCAGTAAGGTGTTTCCCTCGGACAACCAGCATCTGCAGCGATGCTGCCTTCTCACAAGGAAGGAAGGGTTAGAAAAGGTCGGCCCTAAAAATGTCACACCTCCCCTAACTCACGGATTTCCGTCTCCTTGGGTAAGGGTGCCCACTAAGGGCCTTTAAGAACGGAGCTAATCCTCAAAAAACATTTCATAAAAAGGCCGTGCGTGACCGGCCTCAAGCAGTTGTCCCTTGGGCTCTGCGGTCACGCACCAACACTAATCTATCTTCCTTTTCAGGTTCCTCAAGAAACAACCTTCCACGGTGTGGGCAGCCGGGAAGTGACAACCGCCCTCATACCCATAACAGCACGCGAGACCGAATTGGTCAAAATCAAATCCTTCCTACACCCCCTAGTACCTCTCTTATCTCCACGACTAACTCTTCTCACATTCATTCATCACAGTGCACAGCTAATGCAGACGATACGAATTCGCGAAACGTCGTTCCTGGTTTGCTTAAACCTCGCTCTAGACTACATGTTGGAGCATTTAATGTACGGACATTGTGTCAAATAGGGCAACAGGCTTCCTTAGCTAAGACCTTAGAATCTCGTGCCATCGATGTATGCTGCGTCTCGGAAACGCGCATACAGGATCCGAGTCACGTCATACACTTGACCACACCATGTCAAAATAAAGAAGCAGCTCGATTTACTCTTCGTGTATCCGGTAGCCCTGATGCTGCTTCCCGGGGTCTTGCTGGCGTAGGCATAGCATTGAGTCCTAGGGCAGAACAATCTCTCCTTGACTGGATCCCAATAGATAGTCGATTGTGCGCTGTCCGACTAAACGGGACAGTAAGGACTCGGAAAGATAGGGACACTCGCCGTTGCCTCTTCGTCGTATCTGCCTATGCCCCCACTGAATGCAGTTCAGACGAGGTTAAGGATGAGTTTTACAGAAAGCTTTCGGACCTCCTCCAAAAAGCTAGGCGCTCTGATATAGTAATAATGGCTGGTGACTTTAATGCTCAAGTAGGTAGACTAAGTGAGCAGGAGAGACACCTAGGTGGATGTTATGGTGTCGCGGCTCAGAGAACAGACAATGGTGACCGTCTGTTGCAACTATGCTCAGACAACCGCCTATTCTTAGCAAACACTAACTTTAGGCATAAGGAAAAGCATCTGTTGACCTGGCGACCTCCAAAGTCGTCTCAACGTTGGACTCAACTAGATCACATCGCCATCAGCCACCGATGGAGGGGTTCGATAGAGGACTGTCGCTCGTTCTGGAGCACATGTCTAGATTCAGATCATGCCCTAGTGCGAGCGCGTATTTGTTTGAAGCTTACTGGGCGTAGGAAAGACACCGTAAGTAAGCCTCTTAGGGTTTTACTTAATGATAATAAGGCGAAAAATATATTTCAGGAACAACTAGAAAGACAGTTAGGCGACCATTTAAGCGATTCCCATCCGGAAGCAGGATGGAATGATATCAAAAAGGCTGTGGAAACAGCAGTGATATCTGCTAGTAAGGTTGACCATAAGGCTAGAATGAAACCGTGGATCTCAGTAGCATCCACCGATCTGATGGATGCCCGAAAACTCATCCCACCTGGCTCTGAACATGATGAAGAACGAAGTCAACTTAGGCGCAGACTTATAAAAAGCCTACGTAACGATCGCGAACAGTGGTGGGTGGCAAAAGCGAAAGCGATGGAAAAGGCGGCGGCGATCGGCAACAGTAGACAACTTTTCCGACTTATCAAGGAAACTGGTATTAGAAATCCTAGTGTAAGTGAGACTATCTCAGAAAATGACGGGACTATTATTTATTCTCAATCCAGGAGACTGGATCGATGGGCAGAACACTTTAGGGATCAGTTCAACTGGCCTCGAGCCACTCTTCAGTTACCCACGATCTCCAGTCATCCTGAATGGCAAATCGACGTAAGTCCGCCTAGTCTTAATGAAGTTGAAAAAGCGTTAGGAAATCTGAAGCGAGGACGAGCTGCAGGTCCTGATAGACTGACCCCTGAGATATTTAAGGATGGTGGTTCAGTTTTAGCAACTAGGTTGACTGAGATCTTAGGTAGAATCTGGGAACTGGACGTAATCCCATCCGACTGGTCTCAATCCTTGATTGTCCCAATCTATAAGAAAGGACAGAAGTCTTCTTGTGACAATCACAGGGGAGTAAGTCTAACTAATATAGTATCTAAAATACTGGCCTCAATAATACTTCGACGCTTAACGAAAGCTCGTGAAGAGCAGACTCGAGAAAACCAATCTGGTTTTCGACCTGGACGTGGCTGTATAGACCACATTTTCACACTACGACAGGTCCTGGAACACAGACACACATTTAGGCGTCCTACAATAGTTGTTTTCCTGGACCTTAAGGCGGCATTCGACTCAGTGGATCGTGAGGTTCTGTGGCAGTGTCTGTCATTGAAAGGTGTACCAAATAAGTACATTAACCTCATACAAGCTCTCTACTCGAACACCACTGGTCGAGTGAGAGCTTATGGCGAACTGTCATCGGAATTCTCTACTTCAAGTGGTGTCCGTCAGGGATGTCCACTTTCTCCATTCTTGTTTAATTTTATCATAGACATGCTCCTAGAAATAACCTTATCCTCGTCTGAATTTTCAGGAGTAGACCTTTTACCAGGTGGCTCGCTTATTGACTTAGAATATGCCGATGACATTGTCCTTCTTGGTGAAGACGCTGACAAAATGCAGAGTCTTCTGACTACCCTAAGCAACAATGCAAGCATGTTCGGGATGCGGTTTTCCCCACCGAAATGCAAAATGTTGCTTCAAGACTGGGTTGCATCGGCATCTGAACTAGTGATAGGGAGTGAAGTGGTCGAACGTGTAGACCGCTTCACTTATCTTGGGAGTCTCATCAGTGCTGAAGGCCTGGTGACTGACGAAATCTCGGCGCGGATACAGAAGGCTCGATTGGCTTTTGCCAACCTGCGTCACTTATGGCGTAGGCGAGATATCCGTTTGCTGACTAAAGGACGAGTGTACTGCACAGTGGTTCGCTCCGTCTTACTTTATGGCTGTGAAACATGGCCAATGAGAGTAGAAGATACTCGTCGGTTATTGGTTTTCGATCATAGATGTCTTCGAAGCATTGCTCGTACATCGTGGGACACCCGAGTGAGCAACGCTGTCGTTAGGAAACGGGTACTAGGTAAGAATGGCAGATCAATAGATGAAGTGGTGAAACTTCATCAGTTGAGGTGGTTGGGACATGTGTTGCGTATGTCTAACCACCGACTGCCTCGTCGAGCTTTGTTTTGTAGTGTAGGAATAGGTTGGAAGAAAGCTAGGGGCGGCCAGACCAAAACATGGCATAAATCCATGAAGTCATTGACGAGTGGACTTAGCCATGTCGGTAATTGTCGACTACCTGGTTGGGGTCCGCGAGATGATAATAATCGATGGGTAGAGACCTTGAATGACATGGCTCGAAATCGTTCGCAATGGCGCCAGTGCATTTATTCTTTGTATTCTCTCAAATCCTAATCTTCTGGATTCTTCAACTCTGTAAACTTATCTCATTTAATCATACTTCATGAATAATATCTCCTAATCCTAACCTCTCCGATTACTTCTAATACCTGTACTACCTCTTCTACTATTGGATTTGAATTGACAATTATATCTCTGTGCTGATGTGGTATGGCGACATGAACTGATGTACTTACGTACGAAGTTCTACGTTGCAACTGACTGACTGACTGACCAGATACCATCAGTGACAAAGTACTGTGGGAGAGAACAAACAGGATTCATTCAGTGGATGAGGAAATCAGGAAGAAGCGTTGGAAGTGGATAGGACACACACTACGAAAAACACCTAACTGCGTCACAAGACAACAAGCCCTCACATGGAACCCTCAAGGCAAAATGAAAAGAGGAAGGTCAAAGAACACATTACTTATCCGAGAACTAGAGAAAGATATGAGAAGAATGAACAAACATTGGACAGAACTGGAGAGGGAAGCCCAAGACAGAGTTGGTTGGAGAAAACTGGTGGGCGGCCTATACTCGCGATTGGGGGTAACAGGCGTAAGTAAGTAAGTAAGTAAGTAATCTGTATATAAAGTAGTGGTATTTCTCCTTAATATATATCTACATATGTATTCTTAACAGCTGTTCATCAGGTTTGTTTGTCTGTTTGTTTAACTCTAATCTTCTCAATATGATTAAGGATTGTGTCTTAGTGTGTGTCAAGACGATGGTACAGTACACAGTGTGATAAAGAGTAATTGGATGGATGAGTTCGTTCACTCACTCATTGCTATCGACCTTACCTTACCATTCATTGTTTTAGGTGAATGTGAATATATATTTGAATCACATATATTTATATGAGTGAAAAAAAAGATTAGAATGAGTTAAAATAAAACACACACACACATAACTTACCCTTTATCAAGACTTTGAAAATAAGGATCTTTTCCAGCAGCTTTCTTAGCAGCTGCTTCAGCTAAATTAAGTGTACTATGTGAAATTTTCGACCGAACTTTCTTTAATATATTTCTATGTTTAGCTAATTAGAAGAGAAGTAAACAAAAAAACGAAGGTAATTCATATAATCATGATAATACAAATAACAATAATAGTCACGTGAAAACATTGTTACACTAAAAAAGGAAGGTAGCACTACGTAAATATCGCTCAGTGGAACAATAATGACCAAATACATATATATGAGAATATAATGATTCATTTAGACGAACTAATGGTTACATAACATAGTTCCATAAACGTTATGTTTTGCTCGACACTGCAAACCCAGCCAGCTTACTTAATAATAACGTACGCCTGTTACCCCGCCCCCAATGAAGCGTAGACTGCTGACCAACATTCTCAAACTGACACTGTCCTAGACCTTCATTTCGAGTTCCGTTCCTTGGCCTTCCTCTTTTCTTTTGACCATCCAGCTTAGACCGAGAACACAGGATAAGCCTGATCATAATCTGTGTATGTTAGTCAACAACCAACAGACAGAACATATTGACACAGAGAGTAGGGATATATGTGTCATCTCAAATACCTGTCACACAATCTACTAGTCTACTAGTCAGTAAATAACCAATCACGTCTCATGTTTGCTCACGTAACATATGGTGAACATATCCAGTGAATATCGACAAACTTATCTACGATTGTCATTGTTATGCCTGCATGTAAACACATCAGCTTGATATACTTGAACTATTACGAGTTTAACTAGTCGGAAAAACGAGAGCGAGGATCCAGGATGCGGAGACACGACATGATACGCAAATCCGATTATCTAAACCCCCATATTGAGTAAAAATAAGAAGACTAGATATGAATTAGAACATGTATTCTACAAGCATTCAGAAAGTATGACCTTCGAGTCCAGAAGAGAATCAGGATCCCGGACTAGGGATCCGGGACCGGGTCCTGGTCATGAAACGTTACAGATAATGCGTATTTAAACATTTAGGTCGAGTAGGAAACAGCATCGAAGTCTGTGACGTTGACAGTGAAGACGACCAATAGGAAACAACATTGGAGCACGTGACATTAATATTTAGGACGACCGAAAAATTGACCAGTAGGAACTAACCAACAGGAATTGACTAATAATTCTCTTAGGATATTGGATGAATATCCTAACAGTCATTATTTTGGATTAAATATGAAGAATCCTAAATACAAGTCGATGATGAGTCTCAAACAATAAGACATCCCACTGATTCTAGATTTCCAATCATTATTGGGTTGATGATGATTGATAATGGACTCAAAAATATCTTTAGATTGATAAATGAAGTTGAATATTTGAATAATGTGCTCAAAAACAAGTCTTATGATGATGTCAAGGTCATGAAGTACCACTAAATCGATTGAGCCCAGTTTCAATAAATATTAACTGACAATAATAAAAACAAAAGTCAATCAATGCGAAACAAATTGATATTAAAAGGTAAATGAAATAAAAGTTCAAATAGACATAAGGTGATCATTGTGAATAAAGGAGAGAGAAAATTCACGTAATATGAAAAGAATAAGAAGGCGTAGGAAAATTGTCACATTACCCTAGGCTTAATGACTACCAGAGTAAATTCAAGGTTATAACAAATTGTTTCTGCACATATAAGGAGGGTTTTAATTTTCCAATAGCCAAGGCCTCCATAAACCTCAAAATTCGTCCTTCAACATTTTTTTCACAATGTTTTGAAGGCTGTCTTGATGGTCAATCTTATGCCCTGTCTAAATTATGTGTTTTGTGATCGATGAACATGGTTTTCTATTTCCAACGCTAATCGGCTCATCTGACGTTAACTGATTTTAAAGCCACTTAGGTATATGATGTTCCATAACCCTTGATTGCAAAGTCCGATTACTTCTCCCTATGTATGTATGTGTGTCCATACAAACATGTCAATTGATAAATGCAATGGGATGCGATGTATTCATCATTCGAGCAATGTTTAGGTCTATGTGAAATCATGGACTTGGTCTTTTCAATGAATAATCAGTTTAGCAGCGTTGTATGTTTTCTCTATGACTGCTTTTAGTCTCTGTCTTATTATTAGACCATTTGTTTCACTTCTAAATAGTAAAGTGATATAAACATTTTTCTTCTCAGCAGAATGAAAAACTTGCTTTTGTCTTAACTGATCTCTACACTTATTGATGAACTTTAGCGGGTAGCCATTTGAAATCAATGCTTCAGTTAAAGAATTTTGCATCGTCTTCAAATGTATCAATGGTGCAAATCCTTTGTGCCCTATTGAAGAGGCATTTAACCAGACCTCGTTTATATAGCAGTCGACAAGTGTGCATATGTGTGACCAGATTGTTCGAAATATGTTTAGCGCACAAATACATCACACTATTTTTCAGATCAATTTACGTCTTCTCACTGTTCTATCAACATTTATGAAAAAGGAACTAATTGTTTTAAATTGATGTTAACCGAAATAGTGATCATATTACATATGATTCGCATAATGCTTGCTTGTTTGAATTGTGTGACACTTGTTTTGCTACTCAACCATGATGAAAGCCTAGAATAATAATAACAATGAGTAAGGATTGTACATTGGCCTAAAAAAAACAGATGTGGGACATTGGATTTCTGCTTGCTAAGTGCTACGAGGCTGGGAAATTCCAATGTCCAATTAATCTATGTGTGATGTAACAGAGAGAAGAGTTGTAAACCAAATGGACTTGTATCTGATATCAGTTTTTTGTGTAAAAGCAAATTATGTGCCCTTTTCGTTTTCAAAATAATAATGCGCAGTTGAAATAGAATAAATAACAGTAATACAGTAAGTACAGTAGTTTAACTTGGAATTAAATTGGATGCAAGTGCAAAAAAACACTCTGTGTTGACGACAACAACAACAACAACAATCGCATCTTGTTTCACTAAACAATACTGTTGTTCACTTTAGTTAGTTAATGTAACATTCGATAGAGAGATAAAATAAACAGGTTAAGTTTTTATGATTTAATGATCTGTATTCGACAAACAAACTCGGCCAGTAGAACCTTCGGGGCTACTGCCGGTCCCAAGCCCGGATAAAGGAGGAGGGTTGGACATGGGGTTGGCGACCCCATTCCGTCAAAAACTAACTTGCCAAAAAAAACGCTAACCAGAAAAAATAATTCAAACAGTTTTAACTCTGCCCTGGGAGTTGGAAGAAGAATTATGACGTCTCGTGATGAAAGCCGAGTTCCCTCGGAAGTCACAGGGCCGATGCCTCTTCCGACAATCAGAACAACCATTTTTTTTAGGTACATGGAACGTTCGTACATTGTGGGAGACTGGAAGTCTATTTCAAGTTGTGGCAGAAATGAAAAGATACAACCTAGAGGTGCCCGGCATCTGTGAAACACATTGGACACAGGTAGGACAACTGAGACTTGCTTCAGGGGAACTGCTGTTATACTCTGGTCATGAAGAGGAAAATGCTTCACATACACAAGGAGTTGCACTGATGCTTTCCAAACATGCACAAAAGGCACTAATAGGATGGGAATCTCATGGACCAAGGATCATTGAGGCATCCTTCAAAACAAAGAAAGAGGACATTACAATGAACGTCATCCAATGTTATGCACCTACCAATGACTACAATGACGACGTTAAAGATCAATTTTACGAAAGGCTGCAGTCGATCGTCGAGAAACGTTCACCAAAGGATTTGACGATTCTTATGGGAGACCTGAATGCCAAGGTTGGCATGGACAACACTGGATATGAAGACATCATGGGACGACATGGACTGGGAGAAAGAAACGAAAACGGTGAGAGATTTGCAAACCTATGTGCCTTCAACAAACTGGTCATCGGTGGCACAATATTCCCATACAAACGCATTCACAAAGCCACATGGATTTCACCGGACCACATTACTCACAACCGAATCGACCATATCTGTATCAACAAAACGTTCAGAAGGACTATGGAGGATGTGAGAACCAAGAGAGGAGCTGATATAGCTTCAGATCACCAGTTGCTGGTCGCCAAAATGAAACTGAAGCTAAAGAAGCACTGGACACCATCAGTAACAATGTACTGTGGGAGAGAACAAACCAGATTCCAGTGGAGGAGGAAATCAGGAAGAAATGGTGGAAGTGGACAGGACACACACATTGCGGAAAGCACCTAACTGCGTCGCGAGACAACAAGCCCTCACATGGAACCCTCAAGGCAAAAGGGAGAGAGGAAGGCCAAGGAATACATTACGCCGAGAAATAGAGAGAGATATGAGAGGAATGAACAAACATTGGACCGAACTCGAGAGGGAAGTCCAGGACAGAGTTGGTTGGAGAAAACTGATGGGCGGCCTATGCTCCATTGGGGGTAACAGGCGTAAGTAAGTAAGTAAGTAAGTATTCGACAAACAGCTTGCTTGCCTCTAAATATTTCAGTCTTTATCATATTTAAACAGAATGAAGTAAAAATTTTTTCTAATGAATTATACTTTTCCTCACCATTAATAAGTTAAGACTGGAAACAAACAATCATTAATAAAGTGACATGTATGTTGTATCTCCCTTCACATAGCTATTTAGTGAGAAGTTTTATTAAAGTTGGATAGTGTGATTAACTAACAGTAGAAATGAGGATTTGTTATTAGTTGTTACAGGATGAAGCCGAAATTATCATCAAAAAAAAGAATAATAAGGTGAGTTTATGATATCCTTTTCAATGTACAGTCCCTAATCTATATAAGAGAGAATTTATGAATAGTATATGTACAAAACTACCAATTATTAAGAACAACAGTTAACATATAAATGTCATAGGGGTTTACAAAAGGCTCGATTGGCTTTTGCCAACTTGAGTCAAATATGGCATAGGCGAGATATTCGTTTGCTGACTAAAGGATAAGTCTATTGCGTAGCAGTTCCCTACTTTCTACTTTATGGATGCTAAACATGGCCAGTCAGAATAGAAAATATTCGTAGGGTTAGTGGTTTAAGATCATAGGTGTCTCCGAAGCATTGCTCGTGTATCCTGGGACAGCCGAGTAAGCAATGCTGTCGTTAGGAAACGGG